GGGGGGGGAGGAGGAGGAGGAGGAGGAGGAGGAGGAGGAAAAAAGGCAGTCCCCCAACTTGAGCTAAGTTCCTGGACCATTTCATTTTCTTTCTTTCTTTTGGGTGCTGCTTATTTCTCCAGCCAAACATCTTCCTTCTCTTTCCAGGGTCATGAAACTAACGTGATCCGTTGTCGAAAGGATGGCAACTGGAGCGGATCCTTCCATCTCTGCCCGGAGATGAAAGGCCATTGTTCCCCACCCAAACTGTTGAGTGGGGGCCTGAAGTTACAATGCCCTGATGGCTCCGGAATAGGTATTGAACAACTTACGTTTCAGTTCAACATTAAGAACCTTAGTTGGGTCATTTAAAAACACACACACACACACACTCACACACACACATACACACACACACACACAAGAAGAGAAGACCAGAGAAGAGCAACCAAGACGATTCCCTGTTCCAATCACCTTTTTTAAGAGAACGTTATTTGTTTGAATGTTTAACTTTTATGCTGGACTGGGACCATAGTCAAGGTTCATTCTGATTCTTCATTGGAGGCTTTCAAGAAGAAAGATTGGACGGCCATTTGTCTGAAACGATATAGCAAGGGGTTGGACTAGAAGACCTCCAAGGTCCCTTCCAACTCTCTGTTATTCTGCTATTCCAGTTAGCCTGTAGTGAAGGAGATGCTCTCTTCAACCGACTTTAAAAGCTATCTTCCCCTAAGTCACCTAGAATGGTCCATTGAGCTCAGTGGTGGGATTCAATTTTTTTTTTTTTTACTGCCGGTTCTGTGGTGGGCGTGATGTGGCTTGGTGGGTGTGGTTTGGTGGGCCTGGCAGAGGAAGCAGACTGCAAAAATCCCCATTTTCTCCCCACCCCAATAACCCGCTTTCCGTTCTCCTGTGCAGGGCAACCAAAGGAGACCCAGCCGATCAGCTGGGACTCAACGGGAGGCAGATAATAGATGGGGTGGGACCAGTCAGAGGTGGGATTTGCCGGCTCTCCGAACTACTCAAAGTTTCCTCTGCTGGTTCTCCAGAACCGGTCAGAACCGGCTGCATACCACCTCTAATCGATCGATCTATGTCTCATCTAGGTTCTTTGTGATGGATTTGCCTGATATTAGTCAGGGAGGGGGCTTCCCCCCCCCAAACCTTTTCTTCAGATGCCAGGAATTCAGACCCAGTTCTGTTCTCCTCTTGGCGTGTCCAATCTGGAAAGACCATTTCTGCTTGGAGCATCCTTTGTTCACGATGGTTGGGTATGTGCCATCCATAAAGGTGAACCGAAGCCGGGGACCCATCCCAGCCCAAGAAGGCGAGATGGGTGTTCGTCTCTTTTCCACAAACCTCTCTTCTGTCTTTTTCAAACTGGCAGGGAAGCTGGGTATGTTCCCCCCCCCCCCCGGCGCCCATCCCAGGGGGGGGGGAGAGAAAAGAGCATGTGATCAGAATGATCTCATTGCTCTATAATGAAGCCAATTATGGATTGTATATCAAAACAATTCCAGGACTGGGTTTTCTTGCCTAAGTGTAAATTGCACTAGCACTAGCGAACGGGCAGGAAGGCGGCGGCTGTTTTCCTTTTCTCCTAAGACGATGTGTTTTGCTCTCTGGAGACTCAGGTGACATCTCGATACCTGCCAAATTTTGCTGGTACTTGCAAAGGATATTTGACTTGCTCTTTTTTTCGGGGAGGCAGAGAGGAAAGGACGGGAAGAATGAGAAAGGGGTGGGTGGGAAAAGAAAAGAATCCCCCCCTTTTTTAAATTCTTGCCTCGTTGAAGGGTTCTCTGCATTGTCTGCTTCTTCTTGCGCCATCTTTATCGTTTTGACTTGGTTATACTCAGCCCAGCCATATTTGTTTTCCTCCAGCCATGGTCCCTTGTGAGAGATGCCTTGACATCAGGCATAAGAAAAGAGGAACCAGTGGTTTCTCTCTCTCTCTCTCTCTCTCTCCCTTTTAGTGACCCCGTAATCCCTTACATTGGGGTGGAGCAATTGAATGGAGCTGAGTGTTTACTGGCCGGATGCCCTTCCGGTGGCCAATGCAGAGTTCGAGGCAGATAATAACCCGTTGTGCCCAGAGAGAGAGAGAAATATCTGCCGTTACTTAGGATCAGGAGCCAGGATAGAGTTAAAAAAGACCACTGTGAGTTTATTTCATGCCACCTATGCACAAGAATCATTGGAGAAGCCTCCCCAGTCTGCAAGGAGATCCGGTCAGTCAACCCTGAAGGAAATCAAATACCTTCGGAAGTTGATTATATTGGCCACCTAATGAGAAGAGAGGTCTTCTTGGAGAAGACCTTGATTGTTATGCCCCCCTTCTCGTAACAGCTGACAGGGAGTGGGGAAGCGGCTCCATTGGCTGTGGAGGAAACTGGGTAAGGGCAAAGTCCGGCTGGGCAGAGCAGGGGAGAGGTAGAACAAGGGAGAGGGAGGTTCAGAGGAAGACCAAGGCCCACCCCCTCTTCATCCTAGAGCACGCAGGGAAGAACAGAGAACAGAGCAACGTGGGTTGCGTGGCTTATGGGGAGGAAAGGGCCCTGATTCCCTTCACAAGGCACACCCGGGGATGGAGTTTAAAGGAGAGGCAGATGGGTGTGGCGGTTGTCAAGAACAAATGTTGAGTTTATCTCGTGTTTGGCTGTGCTTTATCTGAGTTCCTAACATCCTCCCAATTGGTTTGATTTACTGCTTTGTTACTTCATTTCTGGAACTCCGTATCCTGCTCTGCTGGATTTAATTACCTTATTTTGCCTTGTTGGATTTATTGTTTAAAGTTTTCTGTTTACAATGTCTGGACTGGAATATCTGTAGCCAAAGGCTATTGCAGGTTTATGGGAGAGTTTTTCTTCAGACCAGAGAATAACCGGGACATTGGGGGCAAAGTTGGAGCTAATAAAGGAACTCATACTTATTGTCTGATTGTGTTGCCTTTGTGCCATATCCCAGGTCATCACATTGAGAAAGATGGAAGGCAAAAGGAGAAAGGGATGGCAGAGGATGGGATGTTAGATACGCTCATCCCCAGGATCACATGATTTACATTCAGCTATCTGACAACTGACTCACATGTATGGCGGTTGCAATGTCCCAGGGTCATGTCGCTCCCCTTTTTGCGACCTTCTGGCCAGCAAATCCAATGGGGGAACCAGATTCACTTAACAACTGCGTTATTAATTTGCAAAACTGCAAAGTCGTAAAATGAGGCCAAACTCACTTAACCCGTTTCTCACTTTGCAACATAAATTTTGGGCTCGGTTGCAGTCCTAGGATGAAGATTACCTGAACCTGTGGGGTTATAAGAGGCATTTTCTAGAGGAAGCATGTCTCTGAATGGTCCCAAGGATTACTTTAATAAAAGAGAGTGAGGATCCCTGCAGATAAAGTGGAATAAACTGGTGTCCAGCATCTCTGCCGTGATGAATGAGACCCCTCCACTAATTCCATCTGCAGCCACAGACTTGACTTCTCTGCCTGATTTAAGAATTAAGCGTTTAGATTACAGATTAACGGAGTGGGAAGGGACCTTGTAGGTCATCTAGTCCAACCCCCCTGCCCAAGCAGGAGATCCCTATACCATTTCTGATAGACGGCAGTCCAGTCTCTTCTTGAAAGCCTCCAGTGATTTTTTTTTTGTCCTACAACCTTTTGGATTGCAGATGTGGAACAGGAACAAAACCCCATTTTAAAAGTAACATTTAAAAAAAAACCAAATTCTGCTGTTATTTAACAAGGGGATATTTATTTATCAAATTTATTCTTTTGTGTCCAGAGAACAAAAACTGAAGGTTAGGGAGCCAGAAGCTTCTTCCTTTCAGAACCCTGGACAGGTCCTAAAGATGAAGTAACTTAAACTGGGAAGAATTGATGGATCTGAGCAGGGGTGGGATACGACAGGGTTAACTACCAGTTCGGGATTCACGAAGTTTGGTGATTTATGATGCGCTTCCCTGCACTCTGCGAGCCGTGCGCCTGTAAATTGTCATCAGCACGCTGCGTGCAGAGAAGCAGCCTTTGAAACAGCCCTCTTTTCTTGGGTTTTTAACTGCAGCTGTGCCTCATTCAGCAGCTGAAGTTGAAAAATCAGGAAATAAAGATCAGATAAGAGTCCGGGTGGGCGGGTGGACAAAAACATCAGCAGACATAGAACTGGTTCTATGTCTGCTGCTCTTCAGAGCTACTGGTTCTACAGAGGTGGACAGAACCGGTAGAAACCCACCCCTGGATCTGAGCCTTCCTTCAAAAGAGTTCTGATGATTTATTTCATTTATAATTTATGAAATGTCTGTGTCCTCCCATCTTCTCTATGAGGTGACTCTTGTGGGGAACTGTTAGAAACTCAAATGTTTTAATTCCCAGATCCTTCTCCTTTTCCTTAATTCCTCCTCAAGGATCCATTGCTTGCAGTGATTATAAGTAGATCAAACCCACAGATAGTGCTTGCTAATTCCTTGATAGAATCCAGCTTATTTCTGGATTTTTGTTTAGAATTTAGAACGGCATGTTTTGAGGTTGCTCGGTGCAAACTAACTTCTGGGAGGCAGATAAATATTAGAGTCACCTTCTGAATGATAGAAGCAGGCAAATCGATCTGTTAGATATATCCTTTTGAATGAGCACCTTCGGCGCTGCCAACAGGTTTTACTCCTGTGTTGACACCTGTTACTAGAGGCTATAAACCGCCTGTTTTATGTACCCACAATAATAATAAGATTCGGGGGCCAATTAAAATAGTAGGCGGCTTGCAGAATAGAGGCTGTTCGAAGTATTAACCTCAAGGAGTGTGTAAGTGCCAGCGTAGTATGTGTGAGCCGGTATTGTGTTGTTGTTTTTTAATCCTAGTTGAACAGGAAGACATGCATTGCTTTTCCTCTTGTTCTTTTTTATCCATTTAAGGAGCTGAATGCACTATCTTATGCTCGGAACATCACACCGAGCCCATCTTGTTACCTGCCAATGAAACATTACAGGACATCCAACACTGGATGAAGCCTCCACGAGTAAAGGTAAGAGTCCAAAAACACGGTACAAAGGCGGGTTGGCAAAAAAAAAATAGAGAGAGAAAACGTGTTATTCCTATCAGTGGGTTAATTGCTCTTCAATACAGTAAGTCTTTCCCTCTATCCTCTTCCTTCCCTCCCTTCTCTTTTCTCCTTCCTTTCATCCATCATTCGTTCCTTCCCTCCCACCTTCCCTCTCTTCCTCCCCTTCCTTCAACCCTTCATCCCTTTCTCCTTTCCCGCCCTTCTCTTTTCTCCTTTCTTCCTTTCCCCTTCGTGCCTTCAACCCATTCTTCCTCCTTCCTTCCTCCCTCCCTCCCTTCCTTTCTTCCTTCCCTCCTTCCTTTCCTTTTCCTCCCTTCTTCCCCCTTCATCCCTTAATCTTTTCCCTTCCCTCCCTCCTCCCCCTTCATCCCTTCAACTCTTTCCCCTTCCCTCCTT